GTTAATGCCATTAACATAAGGACTGTTGGCTGCCTGCGAGGAAATACTAGTCTTTCACTAAAGTCCCAAAATGTTTGGTTTGGTATCTTGCCCATCAAAATAAATCAAGGCGACAGATTAGGAAGTACATAAAACTATATCTCTGGATAATGATATACGAGGCTACAATAAATATAAGTTACATGTTGAAGCTGCTGGCAGTTATGGTTGGAAACCCGTAACTCATCCATTTAACCCTGGCGGAATGTTTGTGTTTTAATTACAATTAAACAACGTACTCGAACATTATTCCCCCCTCCCATCCTTCCTGAACTCTGTGTGTGTGTGTGTGTATAAGGGGTGTAGAGAGAAAGGGTGGAAAGAGAAACTCCAGAAGCTAAAAGTGGGGGGAAATCCTTGTACATAATTTACTAACTGTCCGTTTAGGAACATAAGCTAGGCTACCTCCTGTTCGGATTGGAAGGGAAAGGAGTTGTGCAGGAAGGAGGGTAGGTGTGTGTTTTCAAAGTATACCCTGCTCATTGTCCATCCACCACGGTTGTATTTGAAGGTATTTCTGTCCCGTCTGAAGGCGGTTACAGAAGAATACGGCTCCCCTTGGCCTCTGGGAAGCTTCCATTGCCCATTTTGATCGCCTACTATCAAACAGGGGGCTTTTCCAACGCCCTCTTTTATGGCCGCCTAAGTCCCCGTGAAGTGCTCCCCACACGGCTGTTAGGAGAAGAGATGGTTGCCACCAAAGCATTCTAGGAAAAACACATATCACCCCAAGCGAAAGAAATCGAACTGAGCAAGTGACTGTTTCACGTAGCAGTGTGAGAGAGTTTCCTTTCACACAAGTTCAGAAAGGCGTTCAGGATGCCTTTGAGAGAGACCCAATAGGACCTGATTTCAGGAGATAGGAAAGGGCGCAATGCTGTTGTTTTTTAAAGGCCCAACCAGGGAACAGTGAAACTAACGCCAAGTGTAGCCTCATCCACTTGTGGCAAGGAAAGGAAGGAAGCCCAAAGGCGTCTGGAGGAATGGAGCCAGCCTGTGGCAATCAGCTCCATGGAGAAATGGGAGAAGCTTTGCAGCAAGGTGGCCCCGAAGCAGTCCTTCTCCATGGACTGATGTCTTCCTGGGATAGCTCCGAAGCAGTCCTTCTCCATGGACTGAGCTCCGAAGCAGTCCTCCATGGACTGAGCTCCGAAGCAGTCCTTCTCCATGGACTGATATCTTCCTGGGACAGTCTCCACTTTGGTAGCTCTTCCCCACTCACCCTCATCTCCACCCTGGCACCTACTCCACTCAACCACACAAAGACACCAGTTACATCTGGCAAAGCAACAATCTAGAGTAGACCTTTTGCTTGGAGACTTCACCTTTCCTGGTTGCTTTGCAGGCGCAGGTTTGGGGCAGGAGAAGCCATCAAAGGTCTGGTACCACCTTACTAGGCTATCATATACCTCCATTTTACAGACAGAGAGACTGCTTGTTAGGCTCAAAAATAACCCCCAGTTAGGGCAATTCCATCAAAATATAGCAGAGTTCCCCAACAGAGACTTAGGAGAATGACCATGATGGCAGCAAAAAAGGCAACAACCGCAACAACAATCTTGAAACTTCTTTCTTTCAGGGGGGAAAAGAGGGTAATAAAAATCACAAGCTACTTACTTGGCGCTGGAAACTTTGCTCTTGCCACCCCAGCTGAGCCAGCTGGGAAAACTTCCCAAGCTGGTGATCGGAAGGGAGGCTTGGCCGAAACTTCACCCTGCCTTCTTTTCTCTGGGGTTATTTTGGTGACAACACCAGGCGATAACAGGCATCGATTCTGCCCAAGCCCCCTCCGCCTCTCCCCTCCCTTCCCCACCCACCCGGCTTTCCATTACTATGGTAAATTCCTGACAAAGCGCCGAAACAGTGGCCATGCCTTCCAATGTGTGTCGGGCGCGCAGAAGGTACACGTTGGGAGACTGAGCTCGGGTCACTGGGGGCTCGGAGGTCAGCCTGAGTGGCTAGAATAAAACTGCTGGCGTAGAAAAGTTGTCCTCTGGGTGAACCCAATTCCCCCCCTCCCTTTGACTCGAACTTCAATAAAGTACCTTTTCAGGCTCCCAACATGGAGGCGTCAAAAAGCTGAGAGAGAAAGAGAGAGGAGAAAAGAAAGGCAGGGGGACGATGGGACAGGCTGCCTGTATCTCATGATATCTCCCCTTTCTTTCTCGGCCCCCCACCCCACCCCTTTTCCCCCCTTCTTCTTCTTCTCCTTCTCCCTTTATAACTCATTCATAATCTGCCTACTTTGGAAGGATTGTGTCATGGCCAAGTCTAAAGGCCCAATCCCATGCTTTAAGAATTAGATTTTTAAAAAAGCACCAGAAGAAGGTAATTGTCAAGAGGGAAGTAAATGCCAAACAGCAAAAATAAAATCAAAGTGCATGGATGAGTGGGTAGAGGGAGAGGACCTGCTGAAAGGTCCTCTGCTGAAAGGAAGATGGCTCTATATTTTAGATGTTAGAGATTTTTCCCCCTTTTAATAAAAATGAACATGGTTATTATACTGTTGCAAATGTGATTGATGTCTCCTCCCTCCTTTCTGGGCTTCCTCGGCAGACACAGAGAATACGCACAAGACAAAGTCTCATCATATTCAGCCTGATTCTTTCACAGGCACTTGGTTATCATTTATCAAGTTTTGTACTCTCTCTCTTTCTCTCTCTTTCTCTCAAACCTTACATACAGAGAGAGACTTAGAGGAACCCTTATGCATTCTTCAATTTTGCTGTGCATGTGTGTAGGGGAAGGGGGAAGGGAAGTGGAGTGAGAAGCAACTTTAGAATATGGTTCTATAAACCATTATATATATATATATATATAGAGAGAGAGAGAGAGAGAGAGAGAGAGAGAGAGAGAGAGTGTCAGGACTTTTTAAACCTTTTAAAACCTTTGTTCTCTTTCAGGAATCTATGGGCCCTTCCACACAGCCATGTAGCCTAGAATATCAAGGCAGAACATCCCACATTATCTGCTTTGAAGTGGGTTATCTGAGTCCACACTGCCATATATCCCAGTTTGAAGCAGATAATGTGGGTTTTTCTTCAGCTGCGTGGAAGGGGTCTTTGGGAGGACATTTCAGGGAAAACAGAGGCCCCTTCCACACCTGAATAAAATTCCACATTGTCTGCTTTGAACTGGGGTATATGGCAGTGTGGACTGAGATATTCCAGTTTAAAGCAGATATTGTGGGATTTTCTGCCTTGATATTCTGGGTTATATGGCTGTGTGGAAGGGCCCTGGATATTTTTTTATCTATCTCAGCAGTAGGCTAAAGAAAAATAAATTTGAACATTTTTTACATTGATAAACACATGTGATACATTCAGTGTACTGTCCAATGATATTCAGTCTTACTCAGGAGCAGGTCCCACTGCTTCCAAAAGTAAGTGGGCAGAGGTCTGTAGCTTTGTTTTACCCCAACCACTCCGCCATTTCATCTCACAAACCTAAGGTGAAGAAGTAGGCCTGAAACTGAGCAACAGTGCAAGCAATTCAAGGACACCCAGAATATGCACTCATCCTCACCTTTTGCTCTGTATAACTAGGATAAACAGGTTTATGAGATGCTCTTACAACAGGTATTTTCTTAACCCAGAAACATACAAATAGGGGCAATATATGGACATCATTTTTACAAAATAACAGCTGTTAGGCAAAGGATGGTAGCTTTGAAATGCTGATATCCTGGATCTTTGGGTGCTGTTTCTAAACTGATCTGGTCTGGAGCCTTTAAATTTCTCTCTGACCCATTTGGGATGAGAAGAGATTCTGCCTTAACTTTAGCAAGACTTGTCCAAGTGCCCTATTTTCTTTTGCCTTGTCTGCCTTTTACAGGGAATCTGAAAACATTTGCATGAGGACTATCTTGATTATGGAGGATAGCAAAACCTGTCATTTTTCAAACTTCTGTCAGAAATCTTGCTCCACAGGACAATTACACTGTCCTGGCTGTACCCCAATATAAACAGTGCAAAGAATTCCAGTGTCTTCTTGCAACTCAATAGACACATGACCTAAAAGCAGAGACACTGTTCAAAATAATTTAGATAATCTGGACTGTATAAAATGCTCTAGAAATAACAGAAATGGTAGATATTTGAGCATTTACACATTGTAAATGTCATGTTTTGCTCCAGAGCAAAACATACAGAATACAACCCCTTCCCATGTTTTTCCACTTCTAGGCCAGACCCAGTGGAACAATAAGTGCCTTTTTAAAAGGCACTTACTAATCTATTATCTATCTATCTAGACTATCTCCCCATTCATATACATGCACAAGCACATTGGAAGTGCTCCCTAGGCAAATACACTTCTTCCACACTCCTCCGCCAACCTCCCTTTCTCTTTCCCTCAGGGAAGTAAACAAACACTGATTCGCTACAATACCTCCCTGGAATATCTACCACAATGTCAATCTTCACAATTTATTCAAAGTACAGGAGCAAAGGTTCTCTTCAGCTAAAGTTATTGACACAGACATTGAAAGGAAGGAACTAACTTTGAGAAAAAAGCATGGGACAGGAACTGGCATCTTATGCAAGGAAGAATAAATACATTTTACAAGGGAGGAACAAATCCAGCAAGACACATAGGCCAGCACCAAACACAGACCTCTAATTTCAGGGAAGGATACACAGGGAACAAATATTTCCAATAAAATACATATATACACTTATATGTTTAGGACTTGGTGGCAGAATTTCATTCCAAACATATTATCCCATTGGTGACCCCACTGTCCCTAAAATCAGTGGCAGATTGTGCACTGACTTCTTCCAAGTGGTACCCAAAATCTCTTTTTAAAGCAAGGGAATCTTAATAGGGAAAATACTCCTCCTGGGGATGCTGATGTGGTGCATTAACCCCCTCCTCCAATCCCATTTGCCTATGTAACAGAAAGCAAAGAAGCGAAAGAACTCACCAGATATTCCAAAATCAATCTGTGTCACACTCAATGGTTGTTGGTTGCTTTTGTTTTGTTTTTTTATTATTGAACAAGGGGACTTTCACATATACACTAAAACTCTTTTTTTATTGCAAGTTTACAATGACCATGTCAAATCATCAGTCCAAAATAAAAAAAATATCCAAAAAAGGGGGGAAATAAAAAACACGAGAAAGAATCACGACAAAAACCCAAACAGATTCTATATCCACTGACACTTCTCTTTCAACTTTCTCTCTTGCCCTCCCTCCCTCTTCTCTGGTTTGCTTCTCACATTGAAATAAATCATAAGTTTCTCCGCTTTCCTGCTTACTCCTCTGTTCTGTCTGCCCTTCTTTCCTTGGTCTTTTCCCCAATGTCTATACAACAACACAAAAAAGCAAGAAGGGGAAGAGAAAGCGCTCAATGATCCATTTTTCTCTGTCCTCTTTTTTGTTCTCCATTGGTAAACGCACAGAGAGCAACACAACTGCATTCTTTCCTTGCCTGTGTAATTATTAGCATATGCTTCACATTTTCATCAAAAACAGAACATTAGGTTCCCCCACCCCAGCACACACACACATACACACACACACAACACACTCATCAACACTCCCACTCCCACCATTCTTTCATCCCTTCCTTTTAAAAAAATAAATAAAACCCTGAAAATGGCGCTTTAAAAAAGAAAAGAAAGAAAGAAACAGCAATTATTTCACCTGGCCTCTCATGCTAATAAAGACATGCACCTAAAGCTTGAGATCTCTGGCAAAAGACCTCATTCTTTTGTGTGTTTGTGGTTCTATTTTTATTTTTTTTCCTCCTTTCCTTGGCTCATGGGGATATATATATACACACACGCACCGGAAAACTACGAAGGAGGGGAAGAAGGGGGGGTTAAAGGGGAGGAAACAAGAAAGACAGAGAGAAAGAGAGAGAAGGGGGAGAAACAAAATATATAGAATTAGATATATATATTAGATTCTATAAATAATCAGAGTCATTTTTTTTATGAGGGGGAGGTGGTTCTTTTTGCTGCTGCTGCTGCTGTTGCCGGTTCTGTTTGTTTTGTTTTTTTTTCCCCTCTGTTTGTTTATAACCTTGTAATATCCTCTGCTCGTGCTTCCTGAGATGAGCTTTGCGAGTGGTCTTCGCTGCTGACCACCACCGCGTTGGAAGGAGCCGCCGGGAGGGATCCGGCCGAGGAATTGGCCGGGGCTGTGGACCTCACTTTGGTATTGGGCAGCCGGTGGTCTTTTTTCCATTTCATCCGCCTGTTCTGAAACCAGATCTTGATCTGCCTCTCCGAGAGACACAAGGAATGGGCGATCTCGATCCGCCTCCGCCGGGTCAGGTACCTATTGTAGTGGAACTCTTTCTCTAATTCCAAGACCTGCTGTCTGGTGTAGGCAGTCCTGGATCGCTTGGGCTCGCCTCCATTGTAATTGGGGTTCACTGGAAAAACCAAAGAGGACCGTGAATAAACCAAGGAGGGAGGGAAGGAAGAAGGGTTGAAGGGAAAGGAAGGGGAGCGGGTTAGATGCACACACCGAGAGGAAGAAAGATCTCCAGTGGCTCAAGGGAAAGAGAGGAGGAGAAATACAGAGAGAGAGAAAGGGGGGAGGAGGAGGAGGAGAAGAAGAAGAAGAAGTCATCATCAGCTCAATGGGTTATAAAGAACCCAGGACTTTCCCTCGGATTAAGAAGGGGTTTCCCTGGCTTGCAAAGAGCCTGAATTATTTATGCACCCCTCGCAAAGCCGTTGGAGTTTCACACATACATAACAGAACGAACCACATGGCTCGGGCTGCCCAGACTAGCTTGGCTATAAAATTTATGGTGGGTGTAATTACCCACTCGGAGTCGTAAATCCCGCTCAATTGTGCTAACCCAAAGACTCTCGTTGAAGGCAAAGGAGGTGATGGAGGGAGAGAGAGGCAGACAGCGAGGGAGAGAGAGAGAGAGAGGAGGAAGAGACTGAGGCAGGGACAAGGAAGGAAGCAAAGGGAGAGGGAGAGAGGGAGAGAGGAAAAGGGGAAGGAGAGGAGCAAAAGTTGCCTACCCGTACTGACGTGGATTTTTTTCATCCAGGGGTAGACTATGGGCTGCTTAGAGGCCGTGCTGCTGGGGTGGTCGGGGTTTTGCTGGTTGCAGGCTGGGGGAGCTGGGGATGGTGAGGTGGCGGCGCTGGGAAGAGCCGTTTGGTCGCAGAGCTGCGGCTGCGGGGGCTTCTCGGGGAGGTGGTGGCCTCCAGGCGGTGGTCCATGGCCCCTCGGATGCACGGAGGGGTTGCCGGGACCTTGGAGGCTGGCACAGCTGTACTGGCGCTCGGGGTAGCTGGGTCGCGGTGGAGGAGGAGGAGGTGGAGGAGGTGGCGGTGGCGGAGGAGGAGGTGGCGGAGGGTACAATTCCTGGTGGTGGTGCTGGAAACTGGGCTCCCTGGTCCGGCTGTAATATTCCGGACTGTGGTCTGGGATGTAATTATTTTGCGAATATTCTTCGCATGGAGGAAATTTCGGATCGATGTAGTTAGAGTCCATCAAATACGAGCTCATGATCATTAATTTCTGGAGTGGAAAATAATTTTTCTCGCTTTGTCGTTTTTCTGCTCCATAAAACCCTCCTACTAGCTGGCGACCCCGTAAAGTTAGTTTCACCATGTGACTATTTGCGCCAATCACGCCAGCCGAGCGAGTCCCCGGATAAGGAACCAAAAGCTTATTCAAAATGTATCCAATTTGTGTGTGTGTGTGTGTGTGAGCGCGCGCCAGGGTGCGGGTGCCTGTGTTCTTGTTGTTGTTGGTGTGATCCCCTTCCCCTCAGAGCAAAAGAGGGGTGTGTGAGAGAGAAAGAGAGAGAGGGAAAGAGAGAGAGAGAGAGGTTGAGGGGGAGGAAGGGGCAGATCTTACAGCCAGGCAGGCAGTCCTGTGTGTGCTCCTCGTCTTCAAAAGGTAGTATCAATGCTCAGAATATTAATAGAAGTAAATTCATTTATTTGACAGAGAGATGGTGTGGAAGAGTACCTCCTATATGATTAATCTCTTCCCCCAAACTACCCCCACCCCTTGTTTTCTAGGTGCACAGCAAGTCCTCTCTTGTAGACAACCAAGAGCTAAGCCAGTCTTAAGCAGGAAAGACAACCATTTTTTAAACACTGCAGCATGCTCAAATTTGCTCTGCTTGTTTCACCTTAAAAGCTGTGGGGAGAGATGTGCCCCCTCCTCCTCCCCCCTTCTCCTTCCCCCCCCCCCCAAATCCAGGACACCGCTGGGATCCTTGTCTGCAGATCTGGCCCCACCCCCACTCCCAACCTACACACATAMACAAAACTCGAAAACTCAAAGGAAGTTCAACATCTGTCATCCAATTGTTTGCAGGCAGAGAGACAAAGAAGGCAGGTTACCTGGGTGGGGGGGGGAGAGGAGAAGAAGGTGGGGGAAGGGAGTATGCAAATCATCTTTGCGTCATTTGGAGTGAGAGTGCTCTAGAAAGGCTCATCAACCCTTGCTTAAGGGAGGTCTGATGGGGTTTTCATAAGAGAGGATGGCGAAGATGAAAAGCAGGAAAAGTTGCTTCCAGACAGATGGCAAGGCCACCAACCTTCTCTTCTTCTAACCAGGGGATGGAGAGGTCGAGGAGTCTAGTAGAAGGAGGTGTTGTTGTTGGGAAACTGGTAGCTGGGTGCTTGCTTTATACCAGTCTTCTCCTGCTCAATGTCAAGGCATTGTTGTGGGAAAGAACACACATACATATAGTCTAAATGAGGGAGGAAAAGAAGGAAGGTAGGTGTCCATTCACATACAAGAGGTATGATATTCTATTCTTCTTCCCAGCCAGAAATCCCTGCAGAAGTAGGAAGAGTCAGCTCACAATCTCTGGTTTCAATCTTGAGTCAGGAATGATGGGCAGAAGCAGCCCTGCTTGAGTGTGCCTGTGTTCCCCCATAAGATACATAAACAGACCTCTGGGTAGGCTCAGCAAGCTGGGATGGGAAGCAAACATTTTAAAGAGTGCAGTTATTGCAGTTAAAAGGCTTTATCTATAGCTTACATTAAGAAGATGGGGCACCGACAGTCGGATTAATCCCTTGTACTGCTTGATAACAATTATAGTTGAAAATCATAGCTTGCAGGGCATTGCAATATTTTACTTGATAACAATAAAAGTGACACATAAAGTTAACTGTTTATGTTTTATTTATTAGACTAAATGTGCCAGCGGTGTCGGAGGCTCTGGGCTGGTTGTAACAGTTTTTATGGGGCTGTAAAACGCCATAAATCAGTCACTTGAAATGGTTAGGTCTCTCTCTCTCCCTCTCTTCCTCCCTCCCTTCTTTCTCTGGCAAGGGCTTGTGTGAGCTCTGAGCTGCCTTTTCAGCGACTGCTGCTCCTTCTTTGCAAGAGAGAAGTCACAATTCCGGATTTTATTATCAGGAGCACACTTTACCTTCTCTGTTATTCTAATTATTTATTCAAGACCTGGCTGTAGGATGGTCCTCCCGACCAATCTCTTTACCCTGCCTCAAAACGTGTGTCCTTGTTCAAAAATGTGCTCTTCTTTAAGCACAACACTCTGAAATCTCAAATATTAGTCTGTAAACTGCAACATCTGGCAGAAGAACCCCAAGAAAGGAGAACATTTAACAAAGCTCACCACTCTGAAATCTCAAATATTAGCCTGTTAATTGTAACATCTGGGAGAAGAACCCCAAGAAAGGAGAACATTTAACAAAGCTCTGCATCGTCCATATACTCCCCTAGAGACGAATTTGTGATTGAGGTGCTCACACAAATTCGATTCTACAGGGTACATATAAACGACTGGAGAATTGGGGCTGCCTATTTCAGGGAGGAGGGGGGAAGGTTACTTCTCTCCATGCCTACACCAGAGGATGTCCTCCACCACCACCAGCCTTTCTTTCTTTTGATGGCTAAAGGGCAGAAGAGAGCAGCCCTCAAGACTTCCAAAAAGTCGTTAAACAAGTTAAGCAGTTCCCAAGTCGAGCATGCATGTTTCTGAAGAATTTTGCCACTTCTCCTCACTTTGAGAACTGGGCCCTGAAAGATGACCTTCATTTCTATTCAGGTGACCACATAAAAACCTACTGTTTTGATTAGCCTCTTTTTTATCAGTCCATGAAATATTTGGGCCAAGTTCACCCTGAAAAGGTTTTTCATGCACAAAAACTATGTGGAATTGTCAGCTTGCTTGCTAGTTGATTGATTGATAGATTCTGAGGAGGAGAAATGTGGTTTGCTCCAAAAGAAGGGGGGAAATGGAAGAAACATTTTCTTTTGGTGGCCAGACCTAGTGTAAGTGGAACATTTCAGACTATCTTTACAATGTCATTCCTATTGAGAACTCACCTGATTGTGTTCATTCTATACATTCTCCATTGAAGGAGAACGTTGAAGCTTGGAATCTATAAGATATGCAGGCATGAGAGGAATAATACTGAGGGAGGGAGAAAGAGAGAGAACATGCATTTTATTTATTTATTGGAATTATAGGATAGATGCTGGAAAATAGAAACACTCACCAACTAGGAATAATATTAAGCAAGTATCCCTACTGTTTCTACAAACACCCATATTACTCTTTCCATCAGGTTTTTATGGACTGCAATAGTTGTATGGAACTCATTCTCCCAAGTTTGTGTTTGCCATGACTGTTTCAGGTTTCAAAAAAGTATTAGTTCTGATTTTAGTAATATGAGTACTCTTTCTCTTCCACTTTAATTGTTACTATTACTACAAATTCTGTACAGTTGCCATCATTATGACTAGTAGTATCAGAAGCAGCAGTTAAGATTATACTCTTCTACATATACTATCAAAGTCTTTTATCTAGCTAGTCTTATACACACTTGCTTGGGAGTTAGCCTCACTGAAATCAGAGACTTACGTCTGAGTAGACCACAAGTCTTTGTGCTGTTCAATATGGGCTGAGCTGGTTCCCACTGAATTTAGTGCAGCCTTCAAGTGCTTGATTTGAAATGCAGAGTGCCCATTGGGGACCTTAATAGAATTCAAATGAAGAGATAAGGAGGAAGGATGAAAGATTTACCAACTGAAGCTATAACTTTTAAACACATTTAATAGGGAGTAAACCTCATTGAACTAAGGACTCTTCCACACAGGCATATATCCCAGAATATCAAGGCAGAATAACCTACGATATCTGCTTTGAACTGGGTTATCTGAGTCCACACTGCCATATATTCCAGTTCAAAGCAGATAATGTGGGATTTTATTCAGCTGTGTGGAAGAGGCATCTGTGGCTTTTAACTTCCATTAGCCACAACAGAGACTCAGGGCTCTTCCACACAGCCATATAATCCAGAATATCAAGGCAGAATAATCTGTGTTGAACTGGAATAGCTGAGTCCGCAGTGCCATATATTCCAGTTCAAAGCAAAAAATGTGGGATTTTATTCAGCTGTGTGGAAGAGGCCTCGGTAGACAGTTTACTTTGGCAGGGTGAGACTATTCTGGATAATTGTAGCGTAAAGTTCCTGATTCATAAGGGTGAACTAAACAAATAAAACTATATCCATATTGGGTTGTTGTAGGTTTTTTCGGGCTATATGGCTATAGCCTATAGCGATTCTCTCCTGACATAAAATTACAACAGCACAACAACAGAGAGGAAACAAGCAAGGACATCTATTCACCTCTCAACAAAAGTTTGCTCCAGGCACTGTCAGGTCATTATATGTTAATCAAGGTGGTCAGTTGAAACATTCACACCTAGCTCCAGCAGACAAGAGTCCTTTGTCCCATCCTGGTCATTCCACAGATATATAAACCCTTTTTCCTAGTTCCAACAGACCTCATTACCTCTGAGGATGCTTGCCATAGATGCAGGCGAAACGTCAGGAGAGAATGCCTCTAGACCATGGCCATACAGCCCGAAAAAACCTACAACAACCCAATATGGATATAGTTTTATTTGTTTAGTTCACCCTTATGAATCAGGAACTTTACGCTACAACTTTACGCTAACCCAGTGATTCCGGCCATGAAAGCCTTCGACAATACATATATCCATATTATTACCCTCTTAATCATTCTTTTAGGGCTCATGGAAGAAAGAGCAATGCAGCTATGGGAGATGGTAATAACTGGAAATGAGGACACATTGTTTCCAGAGAGTCTTACTTCCATAAGAGATAGCAGATCTATGCACTGGAGTTTAAAGTCCGAGTAAGCATGAACAGACTCAAGAAGCAGGATGTATGCAAAGCTACTTAAAAGTAAGATCTCGCTCTTTCTTTGCATCAGATCCGCCTGTAGACACAGTCTCCTGATTTTGATCATGTTTACTCGGAAGCAATAGTCTCTCCCGAATAAGTACATACAGGATTGTAGACATACTCTACCTTTTAGGTTTATTCCCCCCCCCCCTTCATTTTCCATGCTGGGGTTGTTTGTTTTACCTCCTTGTTGGTGTCTGTTTCTGTATCTTAACAGATTCCTGTTTTTCTCTCCAAGATTTGAATTAGATTCCAAAGTTTATATATTCTTTTTCTGTTTCTAAACTTTAAAAATGAAATAAAAAATAAAAAGTGTCCGGGTGAGTTTCTTTTGTGCTTCCTAGCAAAGAAAGTTCCAAGAAAGTGTGGAAAAAATTATAAGTAGGGAACAAATCCCTTTTGTTCCTAGAGCATCTCTCTTGCCTCTTTCAGACTTCTGCCCTCAGTCCCCCCCCCCCTTCCTTATTTTTTTTAAACCAACCAACTAGGTCAGGAAAACACAATTATTGCTATGATCTTTTGAGTGACAACTGGGGGGAAATAAATAAAAACGCCTAGATTTTATTTTATTTTTTTAGAACAATATTTCTGGCCCTTAAGACCTTTCCTGGCCAGAAATCGGTTTGCAGGAG